AAAAAAAAAAAAAAAAAAAAAAAAAACAAAAAAAAAGAAAAAAAAGAAAGAAAGAAAGTCCTTAGTTTGTAATGATTCCGAGAGAAATTAACGCTGTTGAGATTTGTACCCAACTTCTGCTAATTGGTCATTTAAAATTTGTTTTTTCAAATCGGTTACGAAAAAGTCTGGGATACACTAACTGCTTTAAACTTCATAAATAGTGCTAAATCAAGTGTAATTAATAAGTCATTATAACGTCAATGTTGACGTGACGTAAGGTTCCTAGATACCTTTTTCGGAAAAGCCGCTGATTTTAGAGGACATAGCTGAAACGGTTTTGAAGTTATTTAGCTTTTTAGCTCGAAGGGATCCAAACGCCTCCCTGGTCTGAATAGGAATAAGTTTAATAAGTGAATTCGTGCTCTCAGTTCCTTTTCCTTTTGTTTCTCGAATTGGGGTATAAAATTGTTTAGAAGTGATAATAGGGCATAAGCTGCCTTTTTTTTCGTAACAGTTTAACTCCTTTCTAAAGTAAACACGACTGGAAGAGTGGATCCCTGCCTGCGCTCTTGAATTGTTGGCACTACTCTAGCAGACACACCCACAGCATTGCGTATTTGTGCACAGCAGAGAATTTTTCGGAATTCTCTTCTAAATATAGGATTCATCCCTGCGTATATAAACGGATTCACTGTGTTGGAGAAATACATACAAAAATTGCAGAGGAGTTCGACATTACGTGGCATCGTCGCGACGAGACGAAAGCGTCTCAAAATAACGATAACCCAAAATGGGATCCAGCATATCATGAACGCCAGCACAACTGCGAAAAGTGATTTGCTTATCTTGATCTCACGCGTAGTAATGTGGCTGAATGTTTCGCTTCTCTGGATTGTAGTTGACGCATCGGCGTTGTGCTGCTGGATCGTCTTTGCAATTTTTATGTAACTAAATATTGCTGTTAGTAACGGGATTAACAGGAAACATATGACTACAAAGGCATAGTGAAACATTTTTCCAATTTCGCTTAGGTGGGCTGGAGCGCAAAGGGCATATCCCGGGACGAAGACAAAATCCTGAAGACCAGCTAACTTCGGTGCAGCAGTATAACAAGCGACAAAAATCCACACAAAGGCAAGCAAGCCGCGAGACTTCCACGGTGAAAAGATTCTCTTGTACTGCTGCTCCGACTTGCAAATCCTCATGCATCTGTTGAAAGCCATTAAACCCATCGTTACTGGTGAAATGTAGATAACAAACCCACCGAAGAAACCATGAAAGTTGCAAAAAACTGAGCCAAAAACCCAATCGCTTGTTATTAACACACCGGTTGAGAAGGGTATTACAAGTACAGCTGAAATCAAGTCACTTAAAGCCAATGCGATGATATAGAGATTTGATGTTGTGCGTAGTCGACTGTTCTTGTAAACAGAAATACAAACCAAAATGTTTCCCAATAAGGACGAAACGTTTAAAATAACAAGCGAGCTGACCTCCAGGATGATTAAAAAGGGGCTGCGATTAATAAGTGCTTCCGCCATTGAAGCTGTTCTCCAGAAATATTTTAGCGAAGTCCGCGAGAACTGACTTTAAGAAAGAAGTTTACTCTGTGTCAGGTTATGGAGCTGCTAATGTTAAGTTTCGAATAATCTTTTTTGCTTTTTGCTGAGCTTTTTACCCACGGATTTTAATTTAAAAGTCATGAAAAATTGATAGATGCCACTTTGTGAAAATCTGATAACAAAACCATGAAATATAGCCTGAATGCCATGCATTTCGACTCTTCCAGGTACTAAGCTAAGTACAAACTGACGCAACATTGTTGGCCAAAAGGTTTTCCTGACATTTTTGGGTGTTACGTACATGTTGCGTCCGTTTGCAAACCTTGTTCTATATTTATGCGTGTTGTTCAGAGTTGTTGCGCAAAGTTTGAAACCGGTCAAACTTTTGGACCAATCGCAAATTGTAATCCCAAATTTCTTCCAGATTTGGTCAACGGTAGCTGACTATGGTGAATTATGTCTGGCTTTTAGCCAATCAGAAACAGAGAAATATTTTGCATGAATAATAATGGGAGTTATCGCATCCGTTTGCAAACTAATGCCGCCAACCGACTATTCAACAGCCCCCAACATTTTCGGGCCGACAATGGCGGGAGTTTTTGGGTCCGTTTGCAAGTTTAGCTTTATATATCTGAATTCATTAAAGGTCAGGAGTTTGCGCAATTCACAATGCCCAAAGCAACCTTCATTGAAATAGCTATACATTTAAAAATACGTGCGTTGTCATGTGGTTATAACTGATAAAAAGAAACACTTGAATGGTTTACAAACCTCTTTGAGCCGCAATCAATTCTTTATGACTTTAATTTGGAGCCCTGCAGGTGCTATTAAAATTGTCAGTAGTAAGAGGGACGAGACAAAACAGACGCCAGCCGATTAGAGAAATTGATTTTTATATTTATTTAATTTCTGATATTTCACTTAAAGGTTTTTTTATTAACCTCTATCTTATAACTGACAAGGTAAAACCAATACCTTTTGTAACAGAACATCACTATATCCTAAGCAAAGATTTTCCTTTCAAAATCAGTAAAATTATGGCAGCGCAAGCTTCCGAATGCTTTCTTGGTCGTGTATCCCCAGAAACGTATTAAGCTGTATTGCTAACGTATTACTTGTTTTAAGCAACATTTATTTTGACGGCTTGATTAACATGTTGGTCCGTCTTCGAGCCCAAAAAACCCTAAAAAGCTAAATTCAGTGTGCGGTAAAGGATGTTGCAACTTTCTTGGATTGTTTCGTATATCACCACCCTTATTGAGTTACAAAGTAAGGTGACTTGAGATTAATTTCACATTATTTCGATTAAAGCTTTTAGTCTTATTGAACAGCTTAATAAATAAGGAGTGCCGCGAGTGCCAAAACTATGGCCGTTTTCAGAGAGAACAAGGGAATCTAAATCAGTTTCGATTAGCCCAGCCCTGCTCAGTAAGGACTCAGCTGGTACTTATAATTACTCCGGTTTTTTGCACGCATTTATAATTAAATAACTTTGTCTACAATGAATGTACAAAACAACTGCAAAATGATTCTTTGCTTTCAACGCGTAAAAAAAAAAATTTGATTTCATTTCTTCTGTCTCTTTTTTTGTTTAGCAATTCATTCAAAGAAACCCGGGATGTAATCGTTCTATACTCCTTTCAAGGAAAACACATTGGTCGACACTTTGTTCGAACACCTGTTTTGAGGAATTTCTTTAAATGATCACCAAAAATTTAATATTGTAAATATTAAGCTTTTTGAGTGGAAAAAACGGTGATTTTTGTTAAACCACAGCCTTGGGCAACTAGTTGTTATGAAAAAGTTATAAACATGTTTACAGATTATGTTAGGAAATTACACTCATTTATAGCTACTATTATACCGTAAAATTGCGAAAATAAGCCCCCTCAAATATAAGCACCCCAAATTCGTAACGCAGAAAACCCTCCGTTTAATCGCCCCTCGAAATATAAGCCCCCCAGGGGCTTGTACTTGGAAATTGCCCTCAATTACAAAGTGAAACAAAGCAAAAACGGTAAACTTCCTTCCAACTATAAGGTTAGCGCAATCGATTTGAAACGCAAATCTCCGTCCATAGATAATCCCCTCCTAATTTAAGCCCCTCCAAAAGGGCCTTTGAAAAATATAAGACCCGGGGCTTGTTTTCGGAATTTTACGGTAGTTTTTAAAATAAAGCGTGCTCCCGATCAAAGGAACCCTAGCCTCCTTTGGCCGCACCCATTGCCGTGTTCATGTTATGTATAGTGTAACAAATAGCTTAATATAGTAGATTGTATTTTCAAATTATTTGGAAAATGGTTGATGTACCAGATGGTATAAGACCCCAGATAAAATATTGTCTATTGTCTATTGTTACCCTTGTAACATACAGGGCGAACTTACTGCACGCTGATTGATTGATAACGAAGAGGCCTTCTCATTATTAGAAGAATATTTTACCTACACCTATTTGCCATTTAAGTCTGCGGCAATTTTCCAACGTTTATTCTTTGAAACAAATAAACAAAGAACGTGTCAACTGCCAGCACATGTTCCGAATATGCCGAATAGAATAAGCTGATTCCACGATGAAAACGTTGACTTTTTACCCATGCACGCAGAGTCTCACCCCCTCGCTAACATTAGTGCTTCTGTACGTGTCGATCCCTTCTTGCCCTCCTCAGTCTTTCAATCCCCTCCACTAGACACACCCACAGCATTACGTCTTCCTTCACAGCAGAGCATTTTACGGAATTCTCTTTTGAATAAAGGATTCATCCCTGCGTAGATAAACGGATTTATTGTGTTGGAGAAGTAAAGAAAAAACATGCAGAGTAGTTCAACATTTCGTGGCATCGATGCGATTAGACGAAAGCGCCTTAAAACAACGATCAGCCAAAATGGGATCCAGCATATCATGAATGCGAAAACAACAGCGAAGAGAGATTTACTGAGCTTGATCTCGCGCGCGGTGAGGCGTTCGTTTCTTTCGCTCCTCTGGATCGTCAATGATGCATCGGCATTGTGCTGTTGGATCATCTTTGCAATTTTTATGTAGCTGAATATCGTTGTTGCTAAAGGTGTTAAAAGGAACAAACAAAGGACGATGGCATAGTGAATCATTCTTCCAGCTTCACTCAGGTGGACTGGAGCGCACATGGCGTATCCTGGAACGAAAACAAAATCTTGAAGACCAACCAACTTTGGAACGGCACTGTAGCAAGCAATTAAGATCCAAATGCAAAATAGCCAGGTGCGAGACTTCCACGGTGAAAAGATTTTCTTGTATTGGTGCTCCGACTTGCAAATTCTCGTGTATCTGTTAAAAGCTGTTAAACCCATGGTGACGGGTGAAATGTAGATCACAAACCCACCGAAGAAAGCATGTAAGTCACAAATCACTCTCCCAAAAACCCAATCACTTGTTATTAGCACACCGATCACTGGGGGCATGACAAATACAGCAGATATCAAATCACTTACAGCCAGTGCTGTAATGTAAAGGTTTGTTGTTGTGCGAAGCCTGTAGTTCTTGTAAACTGAAATACAAACCAAGATGTTTCCTGTCAACGACAAAACGTTTAAAATAACAAGCGAGCTGACTTCTACGATAGTTAAAAGGAGACTGCGACTGTTAAAGGCATCCATATAGTAATAGTAACTCCTCTTTGGAAATCTTTTAGAGAAAAACCCGAGGGCACCTGCTTAAGCAGGGAAACGGTTCATGTGAACTCAAGTTGTCGAAGCTG